AACGTGTTTGCGTGAATCGTTACGTAGCATGATCGATCTAATCCCAAGATGCTATTAATTTTGGCGTTGAAATTAATTACGGCCTTACAGAGATAAATACAAACGTGTCTAATTATCGTATACTACCTATGTAGTATATGTAGTATACGTATAAGTGAGTTTAATGCATTTCTAGATAGGAATAGTGGATTTTGCAAGACGTCTTAATGGATAAGTACATATCTATGTGTGTACTTACGTATTTAGGTAAGTAAGTTCGTATGTACGTACTTATGTATATACCTGGGGGATACTTAAAAGCTCGCAATACGAGAGAATTCGAACCTTGGCTCAACGTCAATTACGTGCAAACGAGTCGTTTGTGCTGCAACGTTTGCATTGCAAGTAAGTAATACATACGCATATATATACGAGTAAAAGTATATATATATATATTTTATGTACGTAGAAAGGGATAAAATAGCAGCTTTCTCGAAAGCGTCATCGTCGTTCATAATCGTCGAGGTTACTAAAAATGTAAAGGGAAAAAAATAAATCTCGTCCAAGTAACTTATCTTTTTTTCTTTCTTTCTTTCATATATTAAATCGAGTTATTCGAAAACTTTTCTATCGATAAATATTTTTTTAATAAAAATATATATATATATAATATACATAATACATTTTTTTCATAATCGTATGTATATATATATATTTAAAAAAAAAATCGCACATGTATATATATATATATATATATAAAAAGAAAAAAAGGGAAGGAAAAAAATTTCTAGGTATAAAGTTGGCTTCTGAAACAGGAGCAAAAGCGTGCACGATACGTACGTCTTTGACGTAACGCGTGCCAAAGATTATGTAAGACCGGAGAGTATCAACGCGTTCCTCTTTGCCTTTGCAAAGAAACTTTACGGAACATTAACGATCGTTTAAATGTCACTACACGGAAAGATAGTTCTCTTTCTTCCTATTCATTACTATTATTTCTTTCCTTTTCTTCTCTCTTTCTTTCTATGTTTTTTTATTTCTTTTTTTTTATTTTTTTATTTTTTACTTTTTACTTTTTTTATGAATGGTTTCGACAAAAGTCGATAAAAAGAATAAAGGTTGTTGTTGTTGTTGTTTGAGAAAATAAAAGAAAAAGAGAGAAAGAGAGAGAGAGAGAGAGAAAGAAATATTTAGCGTAGGCGGGGATCGTTGAAACCTTGCGTAAGATTATCGTATACCTGGACAATTTGTAGATACAATTTATCTTTCCGTTTTTTTTTTTTTAAATTCTTATCAATTACGCGAGAGAATAAATTGAAATGGTTTTATTGAAAAATAAACGTTTATTCTTTTTTTTTTTTTTCTTTTTAAAATGTGTACGATAGAAGAAAATTGTTTCTATGTTAAGCTCAAAACTTTTCAACACAACCATTCGCGTACGAATAAAACGAAATTGTATAAAAATGTACGATTTTTTTTTTCGTTGAAATATATAACTCGTATTAATTAATGCACATAGATACATAGTATAATTTAATATTAATGTTTTCTTTTTTTTTTTTTTTCTTTTTTTCTTGCTAAAAATATTTCATTACTACGACGATCGATCAATGTACACGAATATATTTAAATTAATATGAATAAAAATATCTTACGAGATCGTATCGATATCTCACAAAATAAGATTTTAAACAAGACGAAAAAAAATTCACAATATACTCTCATAATATAATTTAATGTATAAATTAATATCGTTATTTTTAAATGAAATTTTTCATCGAATATTAATTATATTTAACTGTTAATATTCTATGTAATATAAATATATTTTTTAAACGACACTAGTAAGAGAGTGAATTAGTGATTTTATAAAAATAGATAAGAGCCAAAATAAGGAGAGAGAAAACCAATGAAGATGACGGAAATGATCGTATGCTGGCAGAGTCTTTATTATGAAAGATAAAACGTTCGAAATGCGTGACGCAACGACGATCGCTCGTATTAATTCAGGCCTTGCACACCGATAGTAGTATGTTGTGGGTTGCCTCAAGCGGTGCGAAGAAAGACGACTGCAAGTAAGTATATACATACGTGGGTATATATACATATATATATGGGTATATATGGGTATATATGGATATACATATATATATATCGAACGTACATACATTCGTTCGTTTTTAGAATATTAACAGCGAGACTTGCATTAGACGTAACAATCATTTATCTCTGCACCTGGGATATTTAAACATTTTATACAGAATAGGTTAAACATTTTCGAACGATTTTTTAAATCAATAATCCCCATTTACTGTTCAGATTGTACAAAACTTACAACTTTTAAAAAATTTTTTTTAATAATCTGAAAAATCAATAAGCCCGCAAAAGTCTCGGAAAAATGGATAATTAATTTTGAAAACTAGCTTAAAACTTTTAACCCGCTTAAGTATTTATTGGTCATCTTGAATAACGATCGTAAAAATGTTGTCTTGTTTTTGTCCCACGAGGAAAGAAGAACTACCGTATTGAAGTAAATACGTTTTATGTTGACGCGCGCGATCTAAAAAGTTGTAAATTATGTGTCATAATATTCGAAGGGTTTGAAAAAATCCAAAGAAGAAAGTAAAGTTATAAGGAACAACGTGACACTAAACTGTGAAATGATTTCTCTGAAGGACGTTTAATCGTATCGTACGTGAATTGTTTTTTCATAAAAAATAAAATAAATTTCTTTTATTTGTAATTTTTTTTTTACGTCAAAACCATGTCGCTCGATCGAAGATAAAGATCAGGAAATGCATTTATATTTTCCTTTTTTCCAATTTTTTTCTTTTTTTTTTTTTCAAATATATTTCCTTCATAGATAATCGATTAACGTTGTCCTATAATCTTCGTTGAAGGTCGGCAGATAACTAAAGCTTATCGTTATCCTCGATCGACTCGAAAAATTTGCGAAAGAAACTATAATTCTTAATAGATGACGTATATGGGAAAAGGTTACCCTGTATCACGAGAATGCGTTGAGGGTAATTAATAAAGAGCAATGCCAAGGTGGAAAGGGGGAGGGGGAAACAATAAGAATAAGAAGAACAAGAGAGAAAGATGAAACAAGTTAAATAAAAATAGGCTCATTTCAAATGAATAAGATTCCTATAAGATAGAAAAAATAATATGTAAAAACATTATTTTCTAAGTTTTTACTCATCTCAGAAGAATCGTTTCAGCTCTCATAATTCTGTATATGCGTGTGTGTGTGTGTGTGTACGTGAAGTGGAAGGATGTATATGTAAAATGAAAGACTTGGAACGTAGCCTAAGGAAAAGAGATGAAAAATGTAAAGGAAAGAAAGAAAAAATTGCGAAAAAGATAGGAGAAGCTTTCGTAATATGATGGGTGATGTAGGTAGATAGTTAAGCTTCTTTTATCCAGTTTAACTTGCAAAACGAGCCTGTACATCGTTCACGAAGGTAAAGAGTTTTAACTAATGTAAGAGAAATACGAGAGAAACCATCGTCGTCGAGAAGGGACTTTTAATGGGGAAGACACGCGAATACCTTGAACCATGCGTTACGTTACCTCAAACTGACGACACTATATAAAGGGTTAAAAGAATAAATTAAAAATACTAAGAAAGATATATATATATATATATGAGCCACCAATTTGTCAATCCATTTACTGCACAAAACAAAAGTGAAAAAAGATGATAGAGATTAATATTTATTATCATTTATTATTGGAAGGCCATAACAATTGTTGTCATTTAATAATGTTAAGCTTAATTATTAGGGGCATTTATTTGAAATATAAAAAGATAAGGATTGAACACACACAAGTGTTCTAATAATAAAGTGTTTAAAATATTGTTAAAGTAGAGTTAATCATTTTGGCCTGTAAACGATTCATATGTTTAAAGTGAGAAGGAGAAGGAAGAGAGAGAGAGAGAGAGAGAGAGAAATCTTTTGATTAATTAACAAAAATAAAAACGTAGGAAATAAAGAAGTAGAGTAAAAAAAGAATAAGTATCTCTTCCGATCAGCTCGATAACAGAGTAGGCAAGTCCACAACTCCCACCACCACACCACTTCGTCGACTACTCTCGAGTTCCCCTAGCATTTAAAGCGCTCTCATACATTCAGCGTTCGACGATGCCATATGCCATTGCATCCTGAAAGGATTATAGCTCATGCCAGAAAGATAATAACTAACAACTCTCCCGTTAAAAAAAAAAGAAAAGAAAGAAGGAAGTAAAAAAAAAAAATAAAGTAAGTAATTATGAGAAATAATAATGAATATGATTGTGTTATCAAAGTACAAAAGGGATGACGAAAGAATTAAATTCTGTTGCGATGATGATTCAAAAGAAAAAATATGAGAAACGGTGAGAGAGCGGAGAGGGAAAGAGAGGCAACAAGGTGTCAGATTCGGGCTGATCCACCGGGGTTTTTCGCGAGGGAAGAAAGGATATTACATACGGATAATATGTAAGCGTGTGTCCCCTTCGCGGACAGTAGTTACGCGCGCACGCGTGCGCTGATATATGCGAATGAGAGGGGGAGAGAGAGTGAGAGAGAAAGAAAGAAAGAAAGCATAAAAACAGAAAGAAAAGAGATAGAACGAAAAAGCGACTGGCACATAACGCATACTCAAAGCCACGATAGTAGCACGTTTAAGCAACCACCAACATTCTTTGACAAAGAAACCCTCGATGGCGATGACGACGATGACGGTAACGATGATGACGATGTCTTCCTAATTTTAATATTTTTCTCAGGAGATATAAAACATCCAGCATGTATATACATATGTACATGTACATTTCTTTCTTTTTGCTATTACAAATTGGTAACATAAGATAACGTTTATTTTTATTTCACTTTCTCCCCCTTGCATTTAATTATATACTAATGTATACAAATGAGAGAGAAGGAAAAAGATATAAAAAAAAAAAAAAATCGATTTTATTAATAAAAAAAAAAAAAAAAAAAAAAAAAAAAAAATGAATTAAAGTAATAACTTACTGAATCGAAGTATCGCGCGAGGCAGCAAGACAATCAACCGAGCTTGGAGTCGTCCCCAGGGGTCAAATGATCCTGTCGGGCCCCATGGCCGTTCTCGAGACTATCGATGTGCACACGAATTCGTCTTTTGTCCTTTGTCAGAACTGTTTCTCCGATCAGCCGTGTCCTCTCGAAGATTCCCTTCGATCGTTCTCCTTCTCTCTTATTCGCTCTCTCGACCCACGGCGAGAATGGAGTTGAACCAATGATGATGATACCTTCGAAAGGGTGACCGTACGACAGACTATGTTAGATATATAGAGAGAGGGGATACCGAGTTTATGGGGGGAGTGTAACAGACGGACAGACAGGCAGACAGACAATGAGAAAAAGGTAGAGAGGAAAAGAGAAAGAAAAACGACGTAAGGCAACCACGAGCGAAAGCTCTCACCTCCCACCGACCGCTCCGAAGGTCTGTTGCCAACTGACCCAGGCGGTGACAGCTACTGCCGACACTGCTGCCAACGGTCAGGATCTAAACTAACCTAGCTTGCCTCTTTCTCTCACTCCTTTCATCATTGTGACTGTCACTCTCTCTTTCTCTCTCACTCACACTCGTTCTCTCTCATTTTAATATCTCTTTCTCTTACGTGATGAACATTATAGCGGTCGAAGGTTAAACGATTACCCTTTACTTACTCTTCATTCGACTGCACCAGATAGATATTTTCTTCGATTATTATTTAACGATGAAATTTTTGCTTTTTACCTTCTAAATTTCCTTCATCGAGAATACATATATCGACGATATGTGTGTCGTTCTTTCTTTATTTCTTTCTTTATTTCTTTCTTTATTTCTTTCTTTCTTATGCTGTCTACCTCTGTCTCATTCTTTCTTTCCTTTATGCACACGCGCGTTCGTGTTCTTTCTATGAATTCATTTTTAATAAAACATATCTATACAATTTTTCTTCGTCAATGATCGTCACTCGAATTTTTTCCATTATTAATAACACTCACGCCCGAATCGAAAATACTCGTTAGGCCAAGTTTCTTTATTAAGAATCAATCTCGTAATGCGTACGAAATGTAACGTTCGAACAATGAGAGAGAGTCGACGATGGCTGATTTTTTACATTCTTATGTTGTCGGCACTGTCGATCATCTGACGATCAGCTGTAATTCACGCCTCGTAGCTAACACCACGCGCTCGCGTTCAATATATACGAACTACTACTACCACTATTATTATTCTCTAGAACGATTTTTTTTTTTACATTTCATGCTATTGAAACACGTTCACGTACATACTTTCGTCGAGAATTTATTATTTTTTGTTATTAATTTTTGGCAATTTTACGTTTCAGTGCATTGAATCGAAATCGATTTTTGTACTTTTTTTGTCTTTTCTTTTTTCCTTTTGTCGGTCAAACTCGTGTTGGAGTATTTTTACGCATTTCGAAATCAAGGTTAATTGGCGTCACTGGTGTGGGTCGATACGTTGGCGTTCAAAGCTTCGTTAACTTAATGAGCGATATTAAACCTGTATGAAAGTTAATATATCTATGTATATAACTGCATCATTGAGTCTACGGTGACGCGATATGTAACTATTTACGTTTAATTATCGGATAAAAAAAGAATCATCGATTCACGAGATTATGAACGTATATATATGTATACATAGAATACGCAAGAAAAATTATATTTAATATAATTAATGTGCTAAATAAAAGTAACAATTAATACAGGTGTCCTCGTTTTTATTAAATGCAACTCTATAAAACGACTAGATTAATATATTTCGATAATTTTCTTTTTGTTTGTAGAAAATTCATCGATAAGATGAACTGTTAAATTGCTTTTAAAATTGTTTTTTCCTCTTAGACTTTTCTTTGAGCTTACTTGTTTGCTGTTATCTTATGTTACATATAAAATTATATTAATCTTACTTCAACGACACAAAGGATGACTCTTGTTTGACTCAATAAAATGAAAATTTGTAGTTGTATTTTTTCATACGACGAAGTATTATATGTATTCCATGGAATTTTTATAATCTATTCAATTTGTATCTATTTTCAATTTTATTTACAAGTAACTGATGCAGCGAAATGTGATTGTAGAAATATTTCGTACAGCAAGTCGATCGGTGAACGACAACATTGCTGTAAGAACATTATCAGATTTTGCAGAGTGACTGTGACAAATTTGTATACAATGCTTTTTAATAAAAAACAATCACTTTTTGCCAGATTTCTTGATGCCGCCAGTAACAAGAGGACCCTTTTGACTAGCTTTCTTCGCTGCTTCTGCCAGTGCTTTTTGTTGTTCCTTTTGTTTCTGTTTAAAAGCTACATCTTCGTCATCTAATTGTTTAGAATCCTTTTTCGGTGCCTTCAATGGTTTTTTTTTACCTCCTTCCCGACTAGACATTCTAAAAAAGGTATCAAACTTGATTAGTTTTTTCATGTATATTTTCTCTATCTATTTTACGTAGTAATATAATTCAAATAATTCTTTAACGACATATTAGGTGTACGAAATGTCCGATTTAGAATTGACAGTTTGGTTTATTATATCTTAAGCGCAAAAAACAATATAATTAATCAAAGTATGAGCATAAACTAACGATACAGTTTTGCCATCTTAATAGTAACTTGTCAATATCAGCAGCAAAGAAGTCTGGGGTGCTAATGATGATAAAACAGTGAAAAGCATTTTCTACAACTTGTTAGGAATTATATATTTTTCCTTGCAAGAAGTGATGCAAGTCATGTGGCATATAAGTTTGCTCTTAGGTCACATCATAAATGTTCATTTTCAAGATCAATATCACTAGATCGGAATTTCTCAAATCATTGACATACTGTCTTCTCATTAGTCACTTCCTTGTTAAACAATTTATTGACATTTTGAATTGTCTGCGTTGCATTATTATTTAAATTATGATTTACAAAGTTTATAAAATAATATAATAAAGAATAGAAATCATAACAATGATTCAGTAAGTTAAATTATATACTTAATAAAATAATAATACAAAACAGAGTATAAATTGCATACCAAAAGGTCAATACTTTTAATGACACAAACAATATTCTTATCTCTATGCATTTACGATATCTCTTTTTTTAAATTCATACTGAGTTATAATAACTTATTTATTTGTGTAAGAATAAATACAATTTCAGTACGTTTTCTTAAACGTATATTTATCTATACTAAATTTTGGTCTACAATAAATAATAATCAAAAGTAAACTATATAATCAATAGTTCATTGAACACGATTAACATGATGCAAAAACTAACCTCTTTTGCATTAAGCATATCAATTCTACTGATGTAATAAATTCTTTAAATTAGTAAGTATATATATATTTATATACTTATATATAT